TGCAACAAAATACGTAAAGACTACTGTTGGGGCAAATTTGTTTGACATTCTGACTGTATATTGAGATAAAGATCATATAAAAAAGGTATAATACTATAAAAAAGTATATTATTTTATCCTTATTTTTTCATATGATCTTTATCTCAATTTACAGTCAGAATTTCAAACACCTTTGGATGGGAGCTATGTAAAAAAAAAAAAACAAGGAGAAAATTGTTTCATGTTTCTGTGTCATTTACTAAAACTTGATCATAAATGGAAAAAATAAAAAAAATAAGGAGAAAAAGCAAGTTTTTTACAGAAAATTAAAAAACCTTCATTATTTGTTTAAAACCCTCAGATGCCAGGATTTTGCATCTAGCTTTTAAAAAAATTCGGGGGAGGACCCCCATACCCCCCTCTTATTCAGGAGGGGGGGTACCCCCTCCCGAACCCACCCCCCACTCCTCGCTACGCTCGTCGACCGGGGCGCAAAGCGCCCCAGATCTGAGAATATTATTCAGGTCCACCAGAAATTAACCAGGTCCACCAGATCAAGAGAGCAAGTGGACCTGCGGTCCACCACCTATTAAAAGTTAGTGTCAACCCCTGAAGGGTCAAGAGTTAAGATACATGTCGCCAGTGGTTTGTTAGCACAGAGTGCCACAAAATTTGCAAATAGAAATTATTTTTACCCGAATTATAGGTAACAGATCAATCCGTTGAAACGCTTGAAACAATAAAATCCTGAAGACACTGTATTAGGTCATTAGCTTGCTAAAATGTGATGCTACTTATTTGTGAAAAGGAATGACCCGTTTTCAAGTTTATTGGTAAAATTTGTTGTGAAATGTTCAAATGACTTCCAAAGAAATAAAAAGCTAAGAGTCATTATATATGACCAGCAGCTTGCTTTACATTTAAAGAGAGGCAACTTAAATTAGGAGAGCACTTTCCTCGAGTCTCTTGACCAATTTTCGTAATTTATAAATTGGTTTTGGAAAATCTTCAAGTGTAGATTGGGCACTATTTTGAAACTGCTGGAATCAACCCTTGTGACCAACTCAGTGATATAACACCAGTTTAGTGAGAACATGAAATGTCAATTAATGATAACAATGGCAGCAGAAGAGAGTTTGGTATTGCATCAATGCTGGTTAATGTCAAATTTTGTACAATTTATTGTTAAGTTTGTGAGCCAGTGAAATTGTTGCTTGTGGTCTATTAATGTATACAATACCTTTATTTTCTTCACAAGGTATGGGTTTATAACATTTGAAAATCAGGAAGATGCAGAACGAATTATCAAGAAAGAGGTAACTTTTAAAGACGATAATTAAAATATGCATGCTGTGATACAATATATGAAATTATGGATGATAGGTTAACATTTTGCATGAATCTTTAGTTAAATCAGTTTCCAAAGAAATCAGGCTTCTTTCTAGCTATTTTGGGAAAGAAGTTTGACTATAAAATAATCTGGGTTCAACCTGACGGAAATTCACATAGCTTACAGTTTTGCAATATGCTGGATACATACAGCAAGTAAAATTTCAAATAGGAAGACAAATGAAATGTATCTTGAATGATGAAAATGTTGTGGGACAAAAGTATCAAACTTAATGTGTATTATATGCATTGAGACATGTATGAGGTTATCTTGTTACAATTGTAATATTTTATTTGGTTTTCAATTCAGGCCGACAATTTGGTGTTCAAAGACAGAAAATTAAACATCGGCCCAGCAATCAGGAAACAGGTACTGTATTGAAAAAATGTTAGATGATGAATTACAAATGATAATAATGTAAATATAAAATAGGTATAGAGATGGTCACTAGGTTTGTGTCCCTGATATGGATTTAGAAAAATATTGATACATGACATACAGAATCACACAATTTTTTATAAAAGAAACATAAAGAATTGAATCAAACTGATCAAAAATAAGACTGACAAAGAACATGTAACAGTAATGTAATTGGAGAATAAGCAAAAATAAAAGTAGAACAATTTTACAGAGATTTCCATCAAATATACACTGCAGGGATAATACTGGCCATTGACCCCTCCATGTTCCATTTTCTTTTAATTTTACATGGAATAGCCCCTCTTAATTTAGATATTGATTAAGAATAACTGTAAATGGCCCTCAAATTACAGGTTTATCACTGTACAGTATCAAGATTGTGTTAATGTGAATACTGTTGAACCATTATAAGGTATTTTAGATGCACCATTAATTGTCATTGCAGCAGGTTCTACAAAGGTCCTTTGGTGAGTATTCTTTTCATGTCTGATACTGTATGGTCGACACTTCACCCAATCTACTCCTATCCAACATCCGTCTGTTAACACTGATACAAGTATCTGTCTATAAAAACCACCATGTCAAAAATGGTAATTCTTCATAATATTTAGTTGTCTGTCTATTGTCTACCCTGTTTAAATAAGAAATATCTTCATTGTGTGAAATTGGTGGTAACCATCTAACTTAAAGTCTATGGAATTGTTGTAGATGTTTCAAATTGTTGTTAGGCATTAAAATTGTCAACGAAAGCTGATTTTACAGATCAGTTCGTTGACCTCATCAACATGGTCCACCTACAGAAACTTAAAGAATCTACAAATTGCTTAAGCATTACAAATTGTACCTTGTACATAAATTTACATATATAGAGCAATATTTGAAAACCAGTATTTCCTTTTGAAAATCCTAACCCTAATGTATGCCAAAATACATTATTTGTGGCTGTGTGGGGGGCATTCAATTCCAGTTTGCTCGGCAAAAGAGACCAGTGTATTTTTGCTGTGTCACAGTTTCATATTTGTTAAAATTTGTTGGTCAGCTATGACATTTGATAGGCATTGCCAGTAGTAGTGCCTTTGGGAAAAGATGTCTAGAACTCACCAGCATTTCAATGCGCCTGTGAACTCTGTCGAGATGTATGTATAGGATTTTAAGTAGCAAAAATAAATCCAAATTCAGAACAAAAGACGAAAAAGAATTTCAGGGAAAAGAGGTAAAGAAAGAAAGAAAAAATCACATTGGACTTAACTGACCCAATCTGATAATCTCCCTTTGATGATTTGGTGGAGTTGACCATCAATTGTTATTCGGCCAAATATTTTCATGTGAAAAGTTATATAAAAAAGAAGCTATTGACACTGATATAAGGTGTTAATCAAAATTGTACAGCTATAATCCCCATGACGAGGTGTGAGGTGACCAGCCCCAGTCACAAGGTCTAGTGTTATTGTGTAGATTGTCGTATAGGGCTCACACTGGGGTTAAATTTTTCAGATGGAATTGCAGATCATGAACATGAAATCTTGAGTGAGCAACGTGAGGTAGCAGTTACATTGCCTGAACAGTTTAGCCTGTGGTCTGATGTTCATGTTTTCTTGTTTCAAATGCCGCACAACACACAATTAAACATTGTTTCAATTAAACGTTTTAGCATGCAGGGTGCACTATCAATTGGATTTATATATTAGATGTTTGAATTTTCCTTGTTTATTTTGTATTTTCCCCAGAAGGTTGTTCAACTGTGCTGTTGTACGATTCAGGCATTGTTAACAGTACAAACACTGTATACTTCAGGCTGACAGCTGCAATGTTGTTATTACCAAAGTCACTGCAATCTTTGGGGAAAATACGAAAATGTGTTTTAGTTTCAGCTCACCACCATAACTTGTTACGAGAGATGCATCATCCATGCGTTATTCTAGAGTTGATAAACACCCGGTAATCATTGGCTATGATGTTACTGCATAATTAATTATGAGTCTTCCATATCTAGTCCTTCTCAATGCATGAAACCGCCTCTTCAAAAACGATGGCCTCCTGGCCAACAGCCCAGCAGCGCTGACTAGTGAATAGGCCAACTGTAGATATTACACTAATTCCATGTGACTGGGTTAAGTTGCGCTTTCGTTTCTGTGGCGGCGGGGGACGAGATGATGGCCCTGCCTTCCTCCCCAGTAACCGCTCTGCTGTAACACTCCCTATTTTAGTTTATTGTATTACTAACCTGTTTATTTGTGTTTTGTTGCTGTAACTATTCACTCTTCCGTTCTCCTGTCCAGCAGTCTTGCCTCGTGACTATGGCAACAGATTTGTCAGTCACATAAAACCCTACTATGAAGTTGAGCTACAAGAATTAATCGGACAGCATATACATTTTGTACAAGGTGGCACTGTTATGCATTGTAGAAAATTGAATGACGCAAAATTATATATTTTCTTCTTTGTTGGAATTACAGTTTACATTTGCCTTTCCAAGAGAATGTAAAGTGTTCGAAAAATAGATGGACTGAAAAAAATATAGATTAACATTTTTATTAAAAGTCTACCAGAAGAAGGCAAGTGCTGACATATGCCTTAAATATATGGATGAAAATACACAAGAATGGGATCAAGATTTTCCCCTTTTTTATGGGACTACAGGTGTCAAGGTTTGGTAGTGTTCAGGGTTTAAATCAAAAGTAATTGTTTGCCAAGTGTTTTGATCAGTATTGACAAAATCAACAAGAGTCTGAAAGAAGTCTCGTGTAAGATGGACAAAATCTTCATGATCACGGTTATCCAGATACTCTAGGCCAAGGATGAGGAAATCACTATCCCTGAAAGGCTTGTTTGGTTAGATTAGACAGATGGATGCTTTCAGGATAATAATAATTGTAAACTTTATTTATTGAGGATAAAAACCCTGTTTAGCAAAGCTAATCTTCCACAGGGTCCTCTGTTAGTAGAAGGGTTAGTTAAAATCATGATATAATAGAAAACAAATGAGCATACAAATTATTATCACAGTAAGCATTGGCATAAAAGTAGTTGAGCTTATTAAATTACTATAATTTGACTAAATATATATACAATTAAAGGGTCATTTACACTTTTCATTAAAATTATCACAAGTAAAGATACACTATTCTAAGCTGAACCAATATGGTATTGAGTAAAAGACCACATGTCTAAATTACATATATGTAGCAAAAACTAAAAATTGACAGCATACATGCTAATATAGCGTAACTAAAAACACCAAAAAGCTATATGAAATGGTCAAGGCCAAAGAGATGCTTGGTATATGAAAAAGTCTTGGTGACTGTCAAGTTAGACGCTTTAAATAAGTGAGAGAGTCGCAGTAAGTCTGAAGCCTGTCAAATTCTTTCGAATGAGGTATCTGGTCACTGTCCGGTGCTTTAGAATGAGTTGGTCAGTCCGTCATAATCGGATTATGTACCTTCTTTCTGCTAACTTTTTTCATTGGTTTTGATACCAGCCTATGAAGTAGAGAGGGTATATATAGCTGCCTTGTTTGTTCCTCCATCAATTTGTTCGCATCCAGTGGACAAATTTATATCCCAACATTTGATGGAGTGCATTCGAGTGAGAAAAAAATGTTAGCGTTGTAGATAAAACCTAGGGTTGGTTGTGGTACCTGAAACGCATATATAAAGTCAAACCTGTCTTAAGTGACCTTCCGAGGGAAGTTCAAATTAAGGTCTCATAAGACAGGTGGTCACTTAAGACAGGATCAAAATTTTCAAAGAAAGATATAAACGGTGTTAAACATTATTATGATATTTATTTGTGAAATATTTACATAATAAAACAATGATATTTATAAGCATTACATATTAATAATTTATTAAATAGTGTTTTTCTAGGATGAGCATGGTATTATTTGTTAAAAATTAACATCTCAAAAACAATAAAACTTAGCATTTACAGTCTAAAATATCACATTTGTTCTAAACACAGATTCTTTGCACATGTATAAAGTTCATCGGACAGCAAACCAGTCATCAATTTTCATTTGTTTTTTAGAGTGCCTCGCGTGTAAATTTTGACAAATGCTCATCTGCTTTTATCAAATTTATATATTTTGCAAACTTTGAATGTTTTAACCCAATAATCAGATGCCACCTTGGAATGGAATATCGCCATTTGAGATAAAAAAATTCTGCCAATACTCCATACCTCACCTGTCATATTTTGAAGCAAAGTGTAGTGGAACTTAAAAAAAACACAGCATTAATCCAGTGGAAAGACACATTCAGATGTTTAAGAAGGACAAGGTCCTAGTCTAGCTGAAACTGAAGTCAGAGACAGCCAAAGTCAAAAACCTATATGGAGATGGTTATTGTCAGATGGTTGTGTTTGAGACAATAACGGTCTGTCAGATGCTTTAGTTTGATATAGTCACAGTCTGTCACATACTTAAGTGGGGGACAATTACAGTCAGTAAGATGTTTGATTGGAAGACAGTCATTTTTAGCCAGTGCTTGATAAGGAGGTTGTCATCAGATGCTTCAGTTGAAGACGGTCACTGTCAGTCTCATGCTTTAGAGATGGTTCAGTCTAGCTGCGGTACAACAGCCAGCCTAGCCCTCCGTTGCTCGACACCGACCCATGCTTGCAATTAACTCCCATCAACTCCGCTAACCTCATATCCAACTTATTCTGTTCTGTTTTTTTGATGCATACAAATTTTACCCCGAAATTCACCAGGTCAATATCTGTTATTCATTTTTAACAATTAAAACTAGAAATTCCATTTTCTCCTAGTAAAAGTGAATGTTTATGCAGGACTCCCAGATTGGATGACGACGTGACATCTTGAGTTACTGTATGAATGGTTTAGAAATTGTTTAGTTCGTGTATGAATGTTGTGTATGTAAAGTTTGGTGTTGGTGTGTGAATGATGTGTGTACAAAAACTGGGTTCTGTGTATGATTTGTTTTTGTTTATTTTTGTTTAATGTCCTATTAACAGCTAAGATCATTTAAGGATGTGCCTCTATGTATGTAGTATATGCGTGCTTGGGCGTGTGTATTCAGGAGACGGGGAATGTTGATGTGCTTGCCTCCTTGTGATAGCGCGGATCTGATGTTGACTTTATAGTGCTATCTCACTGAAATGCCATGCCGAAGGCACCAAGCACAGCATTCTGCCTGGTCACGTTATACTGACAACAGGTGAACCAGTTGTTGCCATTCCCCTTAATGCTGAACGTTAAGCAGAAAATAACGACTACCATTTTAAAGGACTTTGGTATGTCTCGGTGTGGGGACATAACCTATTGCCTTCCTCTCCTAGGTGAATGCTCAACATTCAAGCCAAAAGTGTGGTGTTGCCAAGCAAGGCACTAGGAAATAAAAGGTTATTTGAAGTAGAATAAAGATAAAGATACCGAATATTGCAATGGGCGCAGCATATTTATTTTGGTCGGTTTTGTGTCCCCAAATAGAGGACACCAAAGCAAATCCCCAATTCTGCAGGGGGTTCCTACATAAGTCGCCTCCTACGATATATGCAGTGGGTAACAGTATGTGTATATTTTTCCCGATCCCCGACCTGCAGGGGTGTACTGTGTATGAATATGTATGAATATGCAGCATTGGAAATGCATAGAAAACAACTTAGACAATCGCCGGAGCTTTGATAATTTGGAAATATTTGGTTTCAAGTTTAATACTAAGAAAGAAAACTTTTAACAAGAAAGCAAAATTTGAGATTTGTGTAAGAATGGCTTAAGTGTTTGTGTATTTCCTGGTATTTGTGAATGGATGTGGTGGTCGTCAAGTTTTGTTTGTGTATGATTGTGTTGGATGTTAAGTCTGGTGTTTGTGTATGATTGTGTTGGGTGTAATGTCTGGTGTTTGTGTATGATTGTGTTGAGTGTAAAGTCTGGTGTTTGTGTATGATTGTGTTGAGTGTAAAGTCTGGTGTTTGTGTATGATTGTGTTGGGTATAAAGTCGGGTGTTTGTGTTTGATTGTGTTGAGTGTAAAGTCTGGTGTTTGTGTATGATTGTGTTGGATGTTAGGGCTGGTGTTTGTGTATGAATGTGTTGGATGTAAAGTCTGGTGTTTGTGTATGAATCTGTTGGGTGTAAAGTCTGGTGTTTGTGGATGATTGTGTTGGATGTTAAGTCTGGTGTTTGTGTATGATTGTGTTGGGTATAAAGTCTAGTATTTGTGTATGAATGTGTTGGGTGTAAAGTCTGGTGTTTGTGTATGAATGTGTTGAGTGTAATGTCTGGTGTTGTGTGTAAAATCAGGATTTTGTTTAAATGTTCTGTAGAAGGTTTGTGATTGGTATTTATGATCAGACATGGAGTCTCATGTTTGCTGCGCACATTTTTTTCATTTGTTTCATATTAATTTTGTATGTGGTGACTACTTGAGCAAATATATAATCCTAGAACTGGTCATCGATAAAGGGTTGTCCTAGCTGGTTTAAACTGAAATAAATGTGTTTATTATTTGACATTGTGTCTGCTATGACTGGTGAATATATGTTGATTATGATATGATATATTCCTGTTTTAATTTTGTTTACAGATCAGAGTATTCCTACTGGGACGGTGATGTTCTCTAATGGAGTGCCATATACATATCAGAATGGAATGGCCATCTTCCATTCCCCTGAAGGAGGCTACCAAATACCACAGCCCCAGGTCAGCCCACAGGTACGTATACATAGATTTGTCTTGGTAATATAACTCTAGTAACGGGTACAAAAAACTGCAGGCCTTGTGAAACCTGCTAATATACTGAAAACATCTTGGGTCTCGTACAATTTACAAAACCTCAAAAACTTGGACAAGAAAAAACAAACTTGTCACAGTTGCATAAACCAGGTCATGGGTACTTAATGTATTTATTGTACAGGTAAGTAACTTGCATGGGTGCATAATCCAGCTATGGACCTGTACAAAACCCAGGTCACACGAACATGACCAAGATCAGAGGTATATAACCCAGGTCACAGAGGTCACATAATTCAGGGGTACATGTAGGTAACCATGGCACATGTACAAAACCCAGGTCACACGAACATGACCAAGATCAGCGGTATATAACCCAGGTCACAGAGGTCACACAATTCAGGGGTACATGTAGGTAACCATGGCACATGTACAAAACCCAGGTCACATAACATAACAAGCCACAAATAGGACCAGGACACAGGTGTGTACATGTAAATCAGGTCACAGTTAAGAAAATGGTTTGCTTCTCAAATCACAGGTATGTAAAGAAGGTCACATATACACACACACACACAAAACCAAGTCATGTTATGTAACCTAGGTCACATTTACATTATCATAGTATTGGATACAAGACCCTGGTCACAGGTACTTAACCCATCTTATTCTCCAGGAATATCCAGAAGAAACAGGTATGAGTAATCACTGTTTTATATTGAGAGGTCAGACTGATTTGTACCAGGTTAAGGGTCCCCACAGAGGTGAACCAACACCTTCACTAGAAAAGGAAACCCGATGTCCCTTGGTGGATTATACCTGCAATATTTTGCTGGAAGTTAAAATGCTAAGTATGTATTTGTTTTACAGCAGCCGGCCTACTCCACTGTGATGGTTCCACAGACTCCGACCATGTATGTGTCTCCTCAGTACTCCGCCTACCAGCCGGTTAGTACACCTTGTCCAGATCTCCCTCTAACTTACCTAACTCCAGCAAACCTTGTCCAGATCTCCCTCTAACTTACCGAGCTCCAGCAAACCTTGGCCAGATCTCCCTCTAACTTACCTAACTCCAGCAAATCTTGTCCAGATCTCCCTCTAACTTTCCTAACTCCAGCAAACCTTGGCCAGATCTCCCTCTAACTTACCTAACTCCAGCAAACCTTGTCCAGATCTCCCTCTAACTTACCCAACTCCAGCATACCTTGTACAGATCTCCCTCTAACTTACCTAACTCCAGCAAATCTTGTCCAGATCTCCCTCTAACTTACCTAACTCCAGCAAACCTTGGCCAGATCTCCCTCTAACTTACCTTACTCCAGCAAACCTTGGCCAGATCTCCCTCTAACTTGCCTAACTCCAGCAAACCTTGTCCAAACCTTGCCTCACCTTAACTGAACCTTGACTAGTCAACTAGCCATAGTTGCTGTATAACCAGGGCTGGAAACCGTTCCTCAGCAAGTCTATGCCTTGTTGACAATTTCAATTGTGCTGATAACTGTTTATATTACATACTTATTTGGATGCTTAATTGTAAGTACCAACCCTATTTCTGGGGCATTGACCAAAGCAGTTGTGTTCTAAATATAGCAAAGGTATGCTTAATTTTGAGCAGACATGTTCTGAGAAAAAAATAGTTGCTTGGCAAGAACTATTTCGTTAAGTTTTGATTAACATTTGATGATGAGATAATACATTTTTCGACTGACATTGTCATTAGGGCATTGTGGGGTATGCTGTGTTCTGTAATATATTTATAATTCTCTAGGTTCTCAAGACCACTTACTTGGCCCGTTTCCAATAATTGATATAACATTTTCATCATATCACTTGTATCAAAGAAAATATCTCTTGTTAGTTAAAACTGTTTTGTTGATATCGGTATAGCTCATAAAATTTTGATTTGTTTTGTACATGACCTTTTCCATTTTCTGAATGTTTTGCCAAGACCCCTTTCCGCCTTCAAGTTCATGATTACTTTTACAGATGACCTCGTTCTAATAATGTATGTATGATTTGTTTTGCAGACGACCCCTCAATGGACTACTGCTGCTAATCCTTGGAGATGGGCCCCACAGGTATATACTTATATAGATATGTTAGGTTATTCCTTAGATGAAAGCTTCTCCACATCAGATCTAAATCTTCTTGCTCCTCCTTCCCATTCCCTATCTTGCCACCCACCCTCCACAAAAAAAAACCAACAAAAGAACTATCAAATAGGTTTATGAGGAACTAAGAAATAGGTTGTTTTCCCATCAATCCTGTAATGATAGAGATAAAGATTAGTGTGTTCATCATGAGGATTGGTGGTATGGTGATTGGAGAAATGAAGTGATATTTGTGCATACCTGTGGTTGGTGCATTGGAAAGTACAGTCCAAAAAAAATGGAATGTTGTACAGTCCAAAAATAGCTGGAATGTTGTTGTTAAATATTTGAATCTGTTTCAAGCGTCATAGTGGGTTGGATGAGCATTTTAAATTTGGGCTTTAAGATTAACTGGCATGATATCCGTCAAATTCTTGAATATATAATGTGTCTTTGGAATAAACGTGGCAGAGAGCATTTCCCTTGGCAAAGGGAATTCATTGTTTAAATGAATGATGTGGCTCTCCAAGATTTCATTGTTATCCCCTTGCAACAAAAGTTTGAGGGGATATATGATTCCATACATACGTACTGTAACATTCTTTGTTATCAATCTTGCAATTTCATTTCTCTCACGGGAATTTCATAAACTTCATACAAGTATTCGGTATAACAATGCCTTGACTAAGTTTGCGTTTCAGTTTTCTATGTTGAATGTCAAGGTCACTGTTACTATTTTTAGAAAAAAATTGTCATCGTTCTATCGACTTCATTCCTCAACAGAATTTTGTGAGACTTGATACATTTGTTTGCCATGACAGTACCTTCAACAGATGACGTCGCTAGAGCAGTAACTGTTACATCATTGAATTTTCTATTCATTTCCTCATACATATGGCCGGGGACAGTATATATGGCACATTGTGTGAATGCGAGGGGATTTGAATCACTTGTGATGCCTTGTTTAAACTTAAATTGATGATTGCCAGATGGTAGGTTTTTGCAGACCTAATAAGACATATAATTATTATACAAAAAACTTTTTCACTGATAATAAAGATGTGATTAGCGTGAGCTCATATATATCTTTGATGTTTCGTTACAGCAGAGTCCCGGTCAGACAATAGGGGGAAATCCAAGTTACATCTATGCAGCAATGCACGCCTCGCCAGAACTGATGTACGCCCAGCCACCACCCCACCAGGCTTATCAAACGGGAGAAATGACCGACACCATGCTGGAGGGTCCCCCCCTGGAGGTAATTAACCCCTTCCTATAGACATTCCATTGTTACCATCATATACACATGTATGTAGGAGTCATCACTAGAGGAAGAGTGCTTTCTCCTGTTCTTTATCATATGTCCGGGGATACTTCTTCCCTGCAAACTCTGGTCAGGATCTGTGTATGCTGGTGCTACTAGCAAAAGCAGTGCTCCCTGGGTGTTTGTTGTAAACCTGGGCCAGCACTTGTTTACACCAGGGATATTAAAGATAGAACAATAATAGGACAAAAGCACAGCTCACTCGTGCTCACTTGGATGAAAAACGGAGTATAGTGATTTCAGCTTTAATGACGAACATCATATATATGTGCAGAGGTTGTTACATACAGGGGAAGCATGCTTATCCCGACATAAATATGTAGTCACAACACAGTGTTGCATATTCTATACAGAGTTTTAACATCATTCTAAAACCTGTTGTCAGATTTACAAGTTTATAAATTCACCAGCCTTGATTTTACAATCGACTTAGCTTATTTCACCGTCTTTGTGTTACTATTGACTCAGTTCTTTTCATTGCTTTGGAACTTCCTAGTGTAAATGTTTTGAGAGAAATTTCAATTTCATTGTGCATGTGTGATCAGAATTAGAATAACTTACCATGTCATTTCTCAAACTGCCTTATAGTGGTATTGTATTGTTAAAAACAAATGGCAAAAACACTGTTCACGATAAATTCCATTATGACATTACACTACTCTGAAATCTTACCCAAGGTGTTACTTTTGAGGAAACAATGTTGTGGGTCTCTAAAAGCAAGTGTTCAGACAATTACTTTTCAATATCATATCAGTAACATATTTGATGTTTGATTACAGTAGTGAAAACTGTGCTAGTGTTCTGTGGGATAACTCATCCCTTTGCTGTAATACACCCACTAAGTCACAGCAAGATAAAAAGAAGCATAGCTTTCATGATTGGCTGATCATCATAAAGATAAGAAAAACAGAATGTCGGCAACTTTTTAGCCATCAATCGATGAGTAAACTCTTGACACCAAAAACTGGTATGAATCGTTTTGCATTCATTTATGTTATTGTTAATTTGTCATATTCAGATTTCAATGTTTTCTTTAAGTATTGACATTGTGATTCTTACTAAAGTTCATTTTTTCCCCCATTTAACTTAATGATTAAAAAAAAGCCGTCATTGCATACGATGTTTTTTTTATAGAAATACATGACAAAAAACATATTAAACATGCTTGTTTACATTAAATAGGACTTATTTAGTGTCATAGTTCCATTGCACAATTCGAAGACTGAAGAAAGGTTACAGACTCTGTTGTAATGTTATCGCGATGATTTTATTAAAGTTAATAGGTAGCCTACAGAATGATGAATACTTGATCAAGGATAAACTATAACTTCCATTGGGAGGGGATATAGTAAAGCAGTGTGCAAAGTGATGGTTGACTGATAGTATGAATCTAGGCTGTTTCCATGTATGGATACAGATAGTCTTGTAATAATAGGAAAATGATTATTCAGATTTGGAGATTAAGAACATTTGTACGGTTTACACATTAGGAGAGTTCCTAAAATGTCCTGGTGGCAGAAACAAGCCAGATGTAGTGTGTTTTTAGAATGGCAATATTATTTTTAAAGTTGCTCACTTTTCCTTCATGGACAAAAAAATATTCACAATACATTTTGATCATACTATTTGATAAAAGCTCAGCTAGAGAGTGCATGAAATGCTATTTTCTGGTTTATCTCTGACAAGACAGAAACTGTAATCGTATTTAAATAATACTATCAAATGTCTATAAAATAGGTTGGGGATGCTCAATAGAATTGAATAAATGGTAGGTTGACATGAATCGTAATGACATATTAATTAGGCCTTAGCTTTGTGTAGCCTGATGTCATCCATGTTTTGTTGATTTGTTTTCATGGGGAAAATTCTATTTTTAAACTGTTGATGTATTTGTTTTGTTTTTAATTTATTCAACTTCATTTCGATGAGAAGTATATATATATATATATGAATCAAAGGTACTTATGAAACTTATAGATTTATTTGACACTGTTGGAAGCACTGAGGCTGGACAATGAGTGGTGTACCCAAAATAATAACTGTTTATTATATTATTTGTACGTTTTCATTATTCTTTATACCTAATGTATCACCAGGTGAGAAATCATGTGATCAGTGGCAAGTTGTACACAACATTTGTATGCATTGAAAAAACAATTTGTCGGGAGATTTTGTGCTTGGTCATGCATATTAGGTCAAGGCATTATTGTGTTTGGAATATTGTCTACGTTCATGCATGTAGGATCACATAGCTATACGATTGTATGCTTTGTTGGGCATGTCGGGTAATCACGATTGAATGCTCTGTTGTGCATGTTGGGTAAAGTCATAGTGGAAGACAGATTTTTGTGTTGACAGTGTTCTCACCTAACAGTTACATGTCTTGACAAAATAGCTGGCTGAATGTTAACATGCAATAATGTTTACCTATACGTATTCGGAAACAATTGGGAAGTTCAAAGTTGATGAAAAGCAGTCTTCTTTTGCCAGCAACCAGCTTTTAATGAGGTCACAGATTGGTGTATGTTGATTTGACATCTTAATTGACTTGAGGTTGGAGGTTCTTGGTTGCAAAACCCTGACATTTTCTGTGCAGGGTATGCTAAAATTTGTTATGTGTTGACCTCTAGCCATCTAGACCTATTTCAATGAAAATTTGTATGTGAGCAATTCATCGAGGAGTTGTTGCTTGATTTTCATTGCTTCAACCATTTCAGTGGAGTTTATCACCATTTTGTGCTTCAATCATTTTAACCATTTGTCTGTAATCCGGTTGTTTGTCCGCCGTTTTATCCCTCTGTAGACTGGTTTGTCCGAAATGTTACTGTTTCTTCACTGAATTTTATGAAACTTGGTACCACCATCAGCCCTAAACACAGTTCCTCTGTAAATTCACATTGACTTGGCTCTATATAGCTACCTACTGTTACACTGAAGTGGTTCTGTGTACCTTGACAATGACATGGTTCTATATAGCTACCTAATGTTTCACTGAAGTGGTTCTGTGTACCTTGACACATTGACTTAGCTCTAGATAGCTACCTACTGTTACACTGAAGTGGTTCTGTGTACCTTGACACATTAACTTGACTATATAGCTACCTACTGTTACACTGAAGTGGTTCTGTGTACCTTGACAATGACATGGTTCTATATAGCTACCTAATGTTTCACTGAAGTGGTTCTGTGTACCTTGACACATTGACTTGGCTCTATATAGCTACCTACTGTTACACTGAAGTGGTTCTGCGTACCTTGACAATGACATGGTTCTATATAGCTACCTACTGTTTCACTGAAGTGGTTCTGTGTACCTTGACAATGACATGGTTCTATATAGCTACCTACTGTTTCACTGAAGTGGTTCTGTGTACCTTGACACATTGACTTGGCTCTATATAGCTACCTACTGTTACACTGAAGTGGTTCTGTGTACCTTGACACATTGACTTGGCTCTATATAGCTACCTACTGTTACACTGAAGTGGTTCTGTGTACCTTGACACATTGACTTGGCTCTATATAGCTACCTACTGTTACACTGAAGTGGTTCTGTGTACCTTGACACATTGACTTGGCTCTATATAGCTACCTACTGTTACACTGAAGTGGTTCTGTGTACCTTGACACATTGACTTGGCTCTATATAGCTACCTACTGTTACACTGAAGTGGTTCTGTGTACCTTGACACATTGACTTGGCTCTATATAGCTACCTACTGTTACACTGAAGTGGTTCTGTGTACCTTGACACATTGACTTGGCTCTATATAGCTACCTACTGTTACACTGAAGTGGTTCTGTGTACCTTGACACATTGACTTGGCTCTATATAGCTACCTACTGTTACACTGAAGTGGTTCTGTGTACCTTGACACATTGACTTGGCTCTATATAGCTACCTACTGTTTCACTGAAGTGGTTCTGTGTACCTTGACAATGACTTGGTTCTATATAGCTACCTACTGTTTCACTGAAGTGGTTCTGTGTACCTTGACACATTGACTTGGCTCTATATAGCTACCTACTGTTACACTGAAGTGGTTCTGTGTACCTTGACACATTGACATGGTTCTATATAGCTACCTACTGTTACACTGAAGTGGTTCTGTGTACCTTGACACATTGACTTGGCTCTATATAGCTACCTACTGTTACACTGAAGTGGTTCTGTGTACCTCGACACATTGAGTTGGCTCTATATAGCTACCTACTGTTACACTGAAGTGGTTCTGTGTACCTTGACACACTGACTTGGCTCTATATAGCTACATCTACTGTTACACTGAAGTGGTTCTGTGTACCTTGACACACTGTCTTGGCTCTATATAGCTACCTACTGTTACACTGAAGTGGTTCTGTGTACCTTGACACTGACATGGCTCTATATAGCTACCTACTGTTACACTGAAGTGGTTCTGTGTACCTTGACACACTGACATGGCTCTATATAGCTACATCTACTGTTACACTGAAGTGGTTCTGTGTACCTTGACCCACTGTCTTGGCTCTATATAGCTACCTACTGTTACACTGAAGTGGTTCTGTGTACCTTGACACTGACATGGTTCTGCTAGCTCTTTCTGTACCAATATATTTTTGTGCCTCTACTTCCATCATTAATCTTTTCACTTGAAGCCTAGTGAGCACCAGGGCATGTGTGAGAAACCATATCTTGCATGGTGTGTACTGTTGACTGTTGGCGATCAGTATACAATATAATTGTTGGTTTTGCGCGAAATGGGAATTCTTGTTCTGAAATAATTGCAAGTACAATGCCTTGGTTTTATCTACCACAAATGACAGCAGTCTGTCAGCATCACTTACAAAGCAATCAAGTAGTTCCCCTGAATTGTGTTGTGTGTGTGTGCTTTATTTATTTTTTTGCTAATTTCTTTCCATTCTGTTGGCAAACTTGGCACATTTTTGTAGAT